GAAACCCAAGGAGGGGTCACTATGAGTTGGGTCCAACTCGACGGCACATAACAACAACCATCACCACCACCACCGGAAACTGGGATTACAGAATAATAAGAGTTGGTAGAGACCTCAGAGATTATTTATTCATAAGAAAATCAAAGTTTAGGAAGTGACTTATCTAATGCAAGGAAGCTAATCTATACAAAAGGCAGGGCTACACCACAGCTCTCCTGGCTCCAATTTCAGTATTAAAAAAAAAAGTTGTATTTACTGTTCAGTTTTTAAAATCTCCCTGATTAAAGACTGCTCTGAATTTACCTCATCTTCTGAATAAAATTTTATGAAGTCATCTATTTTCAGATAAAAATGAAAAGTGAAATACTGATAGAATGTGACAAGATCTGATGCTATAGGGGCAAAGGCAGTGTTTGTTTTCATTTCTCATTAACAACAAATTAAAAGTCTGACTTGATTACAAAATTGGCTAGCATTTATACAAGCCAGACTGTAGGAGGAAGATATTTAAGTTTAAAAGCATGCTTTTTTTGAGAAATAGCAGATAGCCACAGAAATTATTTGAATGTCTCTAACAGTTAAAGAACGAAGGCAAAAGAGTATGTATTTAAAATTTTCTGTTTCTAATTTCCTAAAAATTGGCCCTAAACACCCACCTCACTGGTCCATAAACACTGGGTTCATGGCATAATATAACAATACAGACCAACCTTTTGATTCTTGGTCAAAGAAATTCCAAATGCGCATTCAGTTTTCAGGGAAAAACAAGAAAAAAAGAGGAGAGTGACTCCTTGAGTCACAAAGGCAATCTCGAGAGCTCTAAGAATACAAACCGAAAGATCCAGAAGACCTCTCTTTTATATTCCCCGTCCCTATCCTGCTAAATACACGAACAACCTCTTAGGAAAAACCGTTCAGTTTCTTCCATCTCTCTTAACAGTTCCAGAATCCCCATAGAGGCACCAGAGGGCTTTCATTACCTGAGGTAGCATCTCTGTAATGCTGGTCCCCAGGGAAACGAGAGGACCACACAGAAGCATTCAAATCACAGATAACTCTATTCCCTGGCAAAGAGCCATTGCGAAGGAAATAATGGTCATTTACTGGAGCTAGACTGACTCCCAAGCATTGCTGGGTGAAGGAATAAATGCAGCTAAGAGTCTAGGCCACCGCCCTCCACTTCCAATTTCCGCCCCATAGCAAAGCCCCAGGTACAAAACCTTTACGTCATTACTCAGCGCCAACACCATGACATACCCCAACCCCCGATACCCTTCCCCCCAACACATACACCCGCCTCCAAACTCTTTCCTTCTCCAGTCGCGCCGCTGCGGGCGCCATCGCACACCCTTTCGGATTCATCGTTACCGCCCCCTTCCTACTTCTCCAACCTGCCCCTTCCCCCGGTCTGCAGCAGAAGCAAAAACTACTTGTGTCGCTGAGCTCGCGCTCCTCCTCCTCCTTCTCGCCATAGAGACAGCACCCGGCAGCGGTGGCGGTGGCGGTAGCGGCGGTGGCGGCGGGTGCCCCATAGACACCTCTCGCCCAGCAAGGGGAAAAGGGGAACCGGAGCTGCGCGCCACCGCTCTGCGCCGTCGCTTCTTGCACGTCCTGACGGGGGCGCTAGATGATGACGCGACACGCAGAGAGGGTGGAGCGCGCGGGAGGGGCGGAATACGCTAGTGACGGAGGCAGGGGCCATGGAATGTTTGGCAGTCAGGTTTCCTGACTTGCTCTCTGGGACATCTGGGCCGGTAATGTAGGACTGCTGGTCCTGGGCGGCGAGTTGTCGTTTTCCATCTGCCTACGGTCATAAAATGCCCCTAAAATCCAGGGACCTCCCCAGTCGGGTTTGCTTAGATTAGACGCGGCCTTTGCGCTTGGGCTCCGGGCTCCTCAGCCCACGCCTCAGTTGGTGGAGATCGGCCAGGTTGAACAGCTGGGAAAAGCAAGCCAGAGCCTTCTAGGCCGTAAGGCCCGGGGACCCGAGGAGGATGAGCTGGCTCTTTCCGCTGACGAAAAGCGCCTCCTCCTCCGCAGCTGGGTCCCCTGGTGGTCTCACCAGCCTTCAGCAGCAGAAGCAACGCCTGATCGAGTCCCTTCGGAACTCTCACTCCAGGTGAAGCCTCTGGGACAGGAGGAAGTAGGGCGGGAGGGCGGGATGTTCCTAACCATCTTCAGGGTTCCTCAGGCCGATTCCCCGCCAGCTGCCTCCCTGCCTCCTAGATCACACGCTTTCTCACCCATCCCTATCTGTTTACCACTTTCCTCTGGACCCTTCCTTTCTCCAGTCCCACCACTGCGCAGCTCTTCTGACTCATCGCTCCTGACACCTCGATGCTACTACCACTTGCCTTTTCTCCTGCTTCTTCATTAACCTTTCCCTTTGCTCACCCGATTACCACCTTGACACAATTGTAAACTGCACGTAGCTAAAGAGAATTGTGAAGAATAATCCCGAAAGTTTCACAAAGTAGAAAATAAAAACAGTTGCAACATCAAAAGAAAGGGAAATCAAATTTATCATCAGTTCTCCTAGTCTGGAAGTGATACACGCAGTTCTTCTGAGTGTTTAAGATTTATTCTTCTTCAGCAGTTCCCCACCTCGCAGTAGTACTGGTGTCTGTGTACATTTCTAACTTTTTATTCTTGCCCTCACACTCAAGTATTGCTTTATTTCAAGTTGATTGATTGGTTGTCTTCCGATGGCTTTCTAATTTTCAGCATAGTCAGATAAATATTTTGCAATTCAATTTATTTAAACTTTTTACAGTAAACTGGCTTTCTGCAGCCTTTTCTGTTGCAAATGTCTGTAGCCCATATTGTTTCTCAGAAATTAGAATTGCCTTTTTATATTATGTTTTATGCAAGCATATTTCACAATATTTCTTTTAACATAAAGATATCAATGTCATTCAACTTTACTCCTCTTTTAAAATACTCTTTTCATGTATGTCTAGAGATAATAAAGTTGAATAATTCATATTGAGTGAACCACTGTTGTTAATGAGCGAACCACTAGAGACATTATTTGTTATACTTCAGTAATGTTTTCCAAACAAGTAAATTATAACTTAGATTAGTTGTAATTAAAATATATTGTTAAAAGAAAAATTCATTGTAAAATCAATTTGGTTGAATTGAGTCCTGTTGCTGACTGAACATCAGATGTTTTTTGGCTGTTTCAATTTTTTGCTTTCAAAAGGGAGAAATTTGTGGTATTTAACAGAAAAGAGTGTCAGACTATTTGATTTATTGGTGGCTTCCTTTTTGTAAAATTAAGTTCACAAAGTTCTTAAAATGTGAATCTTACTGTAATTTGAGTTTTGTACTAACCTGTAAGAGCTAGTCTTATAAGATATGTTTATAAAATAGATGATGCATTTTAAACAAACATAGAAAACATGTATCTCCTTAGAAGTTATCACTTTACAAGTATATACTGTAATCCTAGTGTCAAACCTTTACAGGAAATTCTGTAATATATTCTGTTAAACATTCTCAGTGCTGACAAATTTTTATTCTTTGAAGTTGGAGTTGAATATTTGAAATACTTCCCCAAAGTCCCTTGCTACTAAAGCTGGTAAATAAGGAAAGTGATTGATTTGCAATTTATTTATTTGCCTCCCAAATAAGGTGAAGTTTTAAAGCAAGAATTCTTAGAGAGTCCTGAAATTGGCTGAAGAAGATAAGTAGATACTGTGAGTCAAATGCAGAAAGGAACCATAGTATATGTTATATTTTGAGCCAGAAATTATGGACATATAATTGGACATGTGACATTATCTACATGCTTCGTAGTGTTATGAACATGTAACTTTACATGCTTGATTTCTCTAAGTTCTTTAATGAAATACTTGAAGTTTTATTTAATTTAAATATTTTATATTTAGATATTTAGATAAAGGAGCTCTGGTGATGTAGTGCCTAAGGCACTTGACTGCTAACCAGAAGGCTGGTGGTTCAAACCCACCAGCCACTCCTCGGAAGGAAGG